CTCTTTCTTCCTCTTTATATCTATCCTTCCATCTTTCTTTCTTTTAATATCTATCCCTACAGATTCGCCGACGCCACCACATCTTCCAAGGGACTCCCCAAAACTTGCAGGGGCTGGCCCCCCGCAGGCCCCGCAGCCTCGACCTCCTGGGCTCTGGCGATCCTTCCGCCTCAGCCTTCTAAGTAGCTGGAATTACAGGCATGCGCTACCACGCCTGGCTGATGTTTTGATTTATTGTAGAGATGAGATCTCGCTGCCCAGGCGGGTCTCGAACCCGCGGGCTCAGGCAATCTACTCACCTCAGCCTCCCAAAGGCACGAGATTACAGACTGAGCCACCGAGCCCGGCTTAATTTTTTAAATAGGAAAAAGTGCATATTACTAAATTCAGATCATTTAAGGTTTTACATTGAAAAGTCAGTCTCTCTTCCATCTCCTCCCCTCCAGTCTCCCATTTCCCTCTTAAGTTTGCCTTTGTGTATACAGGTTGTGCCCCAAAAAATGTATACACGTTTTAAGAGATGTTTGCCATAATCAGAAGTGTCTGGACGCTGATGGTAACTAACCACTTTGAGCACCTCTTGTAACTGCAGAAGTTGTGACTTGTATTCATCTTATTGAGTATTACAATTTCAGTACGGTTTTTTCCTTTCTTAAAAACATGTATACATCTTTTTTGGCACCCTCTATATATCCTTCCAGAGACATTCTATACTTTTATTTAACTTTTATTTAGATTTTTTTTGAAACACATAGCATGGTTGCATAGCATGCTGGGTTTTTTAGCCTTTACTTTACAACCCATATGAGTACTCATAGAGTCGCTTCTTCTTTTGAAGCAGAAATAAATATCCTTATGCATATTTATTTATGAATATATGCAAGTATATCAGTGAGATAAGTTCCTAGAAGTGGAATTTCCAAGTCAGGAGGTGCATTTCAAGCTGATAGATACCATGCATTACCATTAGAAATGAGGAAAACTCACAACACAGTTTCTCTTTTTCTCTCACACTCTGTATCCAGTCCTTCAGCCAATCCTGTTGACTCTGCCTCCAAAATTTACTCAGAATCTGACTGCTTCTTAGCACCTCCACTTCTACTCCTGCTTTGGTTCCAGCCACCTTTACCTCTAAATGGTCTTCACGTTAGCTGTTGCCCCTCCACACGTAGGAGCCAGAGTAATCCTTTGAAGGTATAGGTTAATTATGCCAGCCCTCTGCCTGAGACCCTTTCAGAGCAAAAACCAGAGTCTTCAGAAGTCTTACAAAGCCTGATCAGCACCTCTGCTCTCCCCCAGCAATCTCCCTGCCCTCCTGTGTTGTCACTTGTTCCTCCACTAGAGCTACCCTGGCCTCATTGGCATATCCTGGCCCTGTCCAGCCTGCTCCCACCTTAAGCCTTTTCCTCCTGCCTGCAATATCCACATGGCTCTCTCAGTGCTGGAGAAGCCTTTCCTGACTATTCTGTGTGGAACATCATAATTTTCTACCTTCTCCAAAACCTTATGCACTTTTCACCCTGTTTTATTTATTATATCCCGTTGTACTTACCACCATCTGTTTTGAGCTGTCCTTTATGGTAGCTACTGACCGCTTGTGTTGTTGACCACTCAAAATGTTGTTAGTCTCATCAAGGAACTAAGTTTTCAACTGTATTCAATTTGAATTTAAATTTAAAAATTGATTCTTAGTTCAGTTCCTGGAAAATTTTTAAGTATATTTGGAACAATTTTGGTGTGTGAATCTACTTCAACTGTAAATTTTTTGAAATCCAAATTCAGATCAAGTATTTCAGATGAAAATTTAGCATCCAAATTGAGATGTGCTGTAAATGTAAAATACACACTGTATTTCAAAGACTTAGTAAAACAAAAGTTAATAATTTCTCAGTGATTTTTAATATTGGCTATATGTTGAAATGATAATATTTCGGATATATTTTCCTCTGCAAGATATGTTATTAAAATTAATTTCACCTGTTAACTATTTACTTTTTTGAATGTGGCTACTAGAAAATTTTATACGTGGCTCATGTTATATTTCTGTTGGACAGTGCTCCTTTGTTTACTTGTGGTGTGTATTGTGTATCTCTGCACTAGAATGTGAGCACCATGCAGGCAGGGATTTAGTTTGTTTTGTTCTCTGCCCAATCAGTAGATATCCAATACATGTTATAGAACAAATAAATAAATTTGGATGAATTGCCTTTGAAGCCACTATGAAGAAAAATTAAAACAAGATTTGTATGTATTCCCTAGGACCTAAACAAAAAGTTATTGTTTATAGAGAATGTTTATAAATAAGGCCCAAATGCAAAAGGGAAAAGGGCATGTATAGGCAAGCATGGAAACCCAGATAGCTAATAAATATGTTAATGAAATTTCAACTATTTTAATTTTCAATAAGTCAAAATTTGAATGAATTATCTTGTGCCTATAAGAGTTAACAAAGAAGAATGAAAATTTATACATCTTCTCTGGAAGGAAATACTGTAGTTTCACCAACTTTAAATTATGTTTATTCTTTGACCTAGTTTTTCCATATCTAGGAATTTTTCAGGTTATAATCACAGATGTGTGCAAAGAATTTTCTACAGTGTTCATGCTGCTTTGTGTATAATACCAAAATTGAAATCAAACATAGTATCCAGGTTGCTAGAGGAATCCAGAGAGAAAGGTGCAGCTTAGGGAAATATTTTAAAATTCTGTGTTGCCCAGAAAATCTGTCTAGCAAACCAAGTTTATATTTTCAGTGATGTGTTAGGAAAATTAATTATATGTATATACTGAATAAAATGTATCACATATCTATAATCCTTCTAAATTGAGGGTTTTACTTTTTTAACTTGTGACTGTTCTGTGTAGGTATATCTTATTTTACTGTCTCTTGATAGACTTGTGGCTTAAATTGAAGAAGTGATTTATTCAAAATCTTGTAACCAGAAAGTAATGACAGATTTATAGTTTTCATTTCTATTGTACATTAACCATAGATCATTGTAACATCTTAAGTCCTTCCACAATAAAAATGGGAAACTACTTTGTGGAAATAGTTTATATAAATATGTATTTAATGCTTATTCCATCTTTTCTTTCAGAATTACCATGAGATTATGACTCGTCATCCTGAAAATTATCAGTGGGAAAACTGGAGTCTGGAAAATGTTGCCACCATTTTAGCCCACCGGTTCCCCAATAGTTATATTTGGGTGATAAAGTGTTCCCGAATGCATTTGCACAAATTCAGCTGCTATGACAATTTTGTGAAAAGCAACATGTTTGGTGCCCCAGAACACAATACTGACTTTGGAGCTTTTAAGCACCTTTATATGTTATTAGTTAATGCTTTTAACTTAAGTCAGAATATTTTACCAAAGAAAAACACAAACGTTTGGAATAAGGACTCCATAGCATCTAATTGTAGATCCAGTTCTTCTCATGCTACGAATGGCTGCCAGGGAGAAAAAGAGAGGACCTGGGAAAATTGTGATAAGTCTGCCAAGAGTTTTTATCCACCATCACTAAATGATGCATCTTTTACTTTGATTGGATTCAGTAAAGGTTGTGTTGTTTTGAATCAGTTGCTTTTTGAATTGAAAGAAGCCAAGAAAGACAAGAACATAGATGCTTTTATCAAAAGCATAAGAACAATGTACTGGCTGGATGGTGGTCATTCTGGAGGAAGCAATACCTGGGTTACTTATCCTGAGGTCTTGAAAGAATTTGCACAGACAGGGATTATTGTTCACACCCACGTAACACCTTACCAAGTACGTGATCCAATGAGATCTTGGATTGGAAAGGAGCACAAGAAATTTGTTCAGATACTTGGGGATTTTGGTATGCAGGTGACTAGCCAAATTCATTTTACAAAGGAAGCGCCTTCCATAGAGAATCACTTCAGGGTTCATGAAGTATTTTGAGACTCTAAGAATATTAATGTACTTGGTTCAGTGGAAGAGCATAAGCACTTTGAGTGTTATAAATTCAGATAATGAGATGTAATTCATAGATGCATTGTCATTTTGGGGGTGTGGGGGAAGTTCACATTCCTAAAATACAAGTGTAACGTGCAATAATATTCCTTGCTTGTAAATGTGACTAGTTTTTAATTTGGATCGGGTTAGAATTAGTTAATTTGAAATCTAATAAGGCGGTTTGTGATACAATCCTATGAGGAGATATAAGACACTTAAAAATGAAAGTTATGCCATAGGTGTAAGGTAGCTAAAATTGTTATAGTTGACTTTTCTGAGCAATGTTTTAAATTAATTTTGGTGACTCTTTTTTTAAACAGTAATTAACTGTTTCACCACTCAAAATTTGAGTGGAAACACTTCAAACAAAAGCAAAGGTACAGTGCTCTTTTCCATCACTTTGGAATAACTGTACCCTGCGTCTTGTGTTTTGTAAATTAATGGACACATTCTTTAATATGCCACCAAATACTTTTTTCAAAACATATTTGTTTCCAAATGTCCAGGAATATGCAATAGTGTAAAGTTGGAGGCTGAGGCAGGAGGATCACTTGAGTCCAAGAGTTTGAGGCTGTAGTGAGTTTTAATCATGTTTGTGAATGGCCACTGCAGTCTCGCCTGGGAAGCACTGTGAGACCTCATTGTTAAAAAACAACAAAAAATGTCACTTAAGCACTGTGGCTTAATTTTTAGTTGACAGTTTTTAACTGATTATTTTGTATAAAACATTTTGGGGTTTCTTGTATCTTGGCCAAAACCTGTTTTGGAAAATAAATTGAGCAAATTATGTATATTGGACAAAAATGTATCACAGCAAATTTCAGATTTTTTCATTATATCAGTCTTTTGAAAGAGATCAACTTAGCTATGCTCTATTTGTTAGTTCTCTATTGAAAAGGAAACAGATTCCATAGATCTAAATCAATGTTTTTCCAGAAGTATGGTTTTGTCTGCCAAAAGAAAATAGCTCTCTTTGGCCAAAATGCAAAATTATATTGCTATAAGAAAAGTTACAAGGGAAAGTTTGAAGACACAAATGATTTAATTTTGGCTCAAAAACTGAATTTGCTTAACACTGCTACATAATTTGGGTGAAGTTTCCTTCTGCCCGTTTTTCTTGACCTAGATAAATACATTTTGCGAAACCAAGATCTAATGAAAGTCAACCAATATTGAAATATAGTTGTGTGATTGCAATAAGAGGCAAGTGGTCACTTTTTGTTGTTTATTAATAGTTAGCTTTTGCAGGTCATTAGCTAAGCAGGAAAGTGACATGTTTCTTTAGGACTAAAATAAGACACTGAAGCTCAGTATCTTAATGACCCAGAAGACCTAAATTTATAAAACCATTTAGAATAAAATGTTAATTTCTTGGTTTCTTCCCAGAATTATATTTTAATGACTCTATAAATACATTCCAAATATTCAGAGACTCATGAGAAAGGATTCTTACATAGCAAATGCTTAAAAAATAGCGTCCCTTTTTGGTGTTTATAAGCTACAGAACAGTATCTCTGAATTTTTTTTAAGACAAAATAGTTTTATGTTGCTTCAGTTTCTTTAAATACCTGCTGTTTTGTTTGAAACCAAAAATTCCCAACAAGGAAACAAGTCAGCTTGATTCTAACATTTTACATATCACCTTGCTTTAAGCATTATGATTAGATGGGTTTTTCAAATTGTTTAATAATCCTTGATTAAATTAATATGGACCTAATGTAAAATAGCTGAGTTACTGAATGCTGTAAGGAGGGAAGAAAAGGCATCTTTGTTTTTTACAGGATTAACTGAAATGGAAGAGTAGGACTTTTAGCAGAATTCATTAAAAAAATCAGAGCTGTTTAAAAATCTGGGTTCTTCAGCTGTCCAGTCATATGAGCGTTTAATTGTAACTGTCATATGTTGAGTGGATATTAAGAATTACACACTTGGCACCTAGAACTGCCATCTATAGCAAAATGAGACAATGTTGAAAAGTAAAAATATTTTCTGGAATGAAGAAATACATTCAAGTTGATTCACATTCAGATGTTTTGTTTAATACTTCAAATTGGTCTTATCTCCACATTTGTTTAAGTGTTATGATGTTAGTGTATCCTTTTGGATTGTGCTTTTGTCATGAGTCAATTGAGAAAAGTAGTAAATAATGTACAAGTTGTTATCACCACAGCATGAATGTATAATTGTATTAAAATTAAAAATCCACAAAAGTTTGGATGTGTTTTATTTTATTAGCACTGTTATTAGCACTGTTAAAACTTGAGATCATTATCAAAAGGAAGTCATTTCTCCACCTTGCCAGTCGGGGTTTGTATACAGCAAGTCCTCACTTAATATCCTCAGTAGGTTCCAGGAAACTAGGACATTGAGCAAGATGATGTATAACAAAACCCCAATTTTTTTTTGTCATTGTTTTACGTAAATGACAGTGAACAAAATGTTATTTGAGGACCTGCTGTTTGTCCTGCTGTTTATAGCCGGTTCCCAAGAACCTATGGACATTGAGTGAGGACCTAACTGTATATCTATTCTTTAACCTCCATGTTTTTTCAGATGAGCAGTTTTGAGCCTTTTCTATAAAAGTACATCACCATTTTAAATTGCTCCATAAAAATTTGCACTATAAGCCGGGCTCGGTGGCTCAGCCTGTAATCCCGCGCCTTTGGGAGGCTGAGGTGAGTGGATTGCCTGAGCCCGCGGGTTCGAGACCTGCCTGGGCAGCGAGACCTCATCTCTACAGTAAATCAAAAAATCAGCCGGGCGTGGTAGCGCATGCCTGTAATTCCGGCTACATGGAAGGCTGAGGCAGAAGGATCGCTGGAGCCCAGCAGGTCGAGGCTACGGTGGCCGGAAGCGGCCACTGCACTCCAGTCTGGGTGGCAGAGTGAGACTCCAACTCAAAAAAAAAAAAAAATAATAATTTGCACTATATCCATTTCTTCTGTTGACTTCCTGGAGAACAAAATCTTTAACAAGTTCTTTCTATGCTAATCATCTCAGGTATCTATCTGTATTCCTTTCCTTTGGCTTCTTAAGAGACTTGGCTAGAAAACGGTGTGCTGCTTTTCATTTTATTGTATTATCTAAGTACCCACCAAGGGCAAGGAGGGTCTAGGCAATGAAGATACAGGACAGACAAAACAAAGCCCAGCATGTTAGTATGGAAATGTGCAATCCACTAAGCTTCAGAGGTAAAATATAAAACAAAAGGTCATATTCATAAAAGAGCTATTCTGTTGTGTTGCACTTAAGGGCCTTTAAGAGAAGCACATATCAGAGGATGCAATGTAGAGTGACTTATCTGCAGCTCACGTTGCTCTTTGAGGCAGAGACCCAGCAGCTCTTACAGCTAGCAGTTAGCGGTGGAGACAGGCAGAGTCACTTAGGATGGTCACTTTGGTATCCGTTTAATGGAACCTTAAAAAATGGAGACTGCCACTTAGATATATTTAAGACACCCAACACTCGGCGTGTAAGCCTGAACAAGATGAAGGTAACACCAGAGATGTGTGGGTGAGTGCCAGTCGATGTTCGTTCCTCCTGACTGCGTCTTTCTTAGCACTGGGGAAAGGAGTCACAGCAGCAGTTCCAGTTCCATCCAGGCCTGCCTTCCAGCTTCCTGCACTTTTTTTTTGTCAGCTCCTCAGATTCAGCTTTGAGTTCTGTTGGCAACTTTTTATAGGTGATAGAAAAGCCTCCTTACTAAGGTTCTTTCCAAATGTTCACATAGCTGCTGTTCAAAAGGATGAAGATAGAAATTAAGGCCTGTTGACTTTGTTTACCTTGTTTTGGTAAACAAAGTGAGCTTGAAATTACTTAAAATAGAGATACAGTGTACTCGTATACAAAGAGAAATACTGTGAATGATGTCCATAAAAAGCTAATAGTTATACTCTACATATTTTAAAAATGTATTTTGATGGCAACCCCTTCAGGTCTCCTCCCACAGTGGGAGCTTTTTTGTCCTCGCAATAAATCCTGCTTTCTAAAGAAAAAAAATGTATCTTGAAATGATAATGTGAAAAGCGCAAATAATGCAAAATTGCAGATTCCAGTGCCCACCTTGTGCAGCCTCTTAGAGGCAGCCACATCACTGGTTTCTTTTGCCTCCTTTAGATAATCCTATGCATAAGCTAATGATGTTTACATACTGGTTTCTTTTGCCTCCTTTAGATAATCCTATGCATAAGCTAATGATGTTTACATACATCATACCTTGCTTTACACAAATGGCGGCAAACTTATTTTTTCATGTAATTACACTGGGAAGTTTCCATGCCTGTACCTATACTTCTTCCTCATTCTTTGCAGAGTATTTCATTTTTTGCATTCCACTCTGCAGGCTACCTGTTCATCAGTTGTTTTTTTTTTGAGTTGGAGTCTCACTGTCGCCCAGACTGGAGTGCAGTGGCCGCTCCCGGCCACCGCAGCCTCGACCCGCTGGGCTTCGGTGATCCTTTTGCCTCAGCCTTCCGAGTAGCCGGAACTACAGGTGTGCGCTACCACCCCCAGCTGATTTTTGCTTTATTGTAGAGATGAGGTCTCGCTGCCCAGGCGGGTCTCGAACCCGCGGGCTCAGGCAATCCACTCACCTCAGCCTCCCAAAGGTGCGGGATTACAGGCTGAGCCACGGAGCCCGGCTTGTTCATCAGTTTTACTTTGAATCTTGTCTATGTGGCAAGCTGTGCAATGAGTTTTGTTGGCAGAGGAAAGATAATCCCTTGTGCATCAGGTCAAGCCCTAGTAAGCCAAAGAAAAGTTGTGTAACCTATTCAGAAGTATATGAGATGTGCTGCACATTAGGGAGTGGAGAATTACTAATCTGGTCACCACAAATGTCACTCTGGTTTTTATCACAGCTGTGAGCCCAGACAATCATTAAGCAATCTGCATTGATTAGATGGTTTCTAAAATCCCTTTTAGAAAAATAAATCTAAGATTTGGGATTGAAGTTGGAACTAACATATCCTGTATAATATTTCATTTGATCTTAACCCTATAGAGAAAAAAGATTAACATTTTGTATTTAAAATAAACTCAAGACCCAAACATTAAAAACTGTGGCCAGGGAAATAATTTTAAAACTTTCCATAGGGTTCCTCTGTAGCTTAACTACCTCAAGTCTCTCAGCAAAGAAGGAATATAATTAAATGAAAGAACAGGCACTAGCCATCAACTGTGCTTACCCTTGAACCATTGCATTTTCCTAGTTCTGTTTTAAAGATGAGGAAAATATACTTCATAAAGGTGATTTAACTTGCCTAAGGCCATCCAGTTTGCTTCTCCACTAAACAATTAAAATGGACATTCAGTAGGCAAATTGTACTTTACTTCCAAGTTTTTCTACACAACTAGATTTATACTTTGTATTGATTCTTACTGGTTAAGAGGGGAAAAAAAAGCACCAAGATTTATTAAAAGCTGACTATAAATACTGTGCAAACAAACAGAGGTTTTGTCATTTTCCTTTCTAAAGGAATCATTTAAAGTTCTTTGCTTGGCCTAAGAAGTAACCAAATATCAAAATCTGAGAATTATAGCTTTTAAAACCATTCCTTTTCTCACAGACTTTTTTCACCTTTGTTGACCTGAGTAATTATACTTATTCACTATAATTTGCTTTTTCTACTTGAAATTAAGCCAACTCCAAACATAAGAGTAGATGGATAATCTTCAATAGAAATGATTTTCTTCGTAATTAAAATGCACCAAATTGATGTACTCAGCGATTACTTCACATGGGAACATTTGTGTTCAGTAAATAGAGTTGGTTTCTCTTCAGTGGCACTGCAATATAATTACTAGGTGCAAAACAAAGAATAGCACAGATTCACACACAGTGGCTCATTGTCTTCAATGAAAACAACATTATTAGGATCTCATTTATTCATTCTTTTAAAGAAAATACATTTTTCTCTTAAAGGGCTAAGTGAAAAAAACAGTGGGGAAAACTAATTAGGTTAAGGTTTAGACATAGGTATGAATTAAAACTGGTTTATATTTTAACATTCAAAAAACAAAGGGGTAGAACGGACATACTGGATGGCAAGAAAAATTAGGACCAGATTAAACATTTGTTTTGGGCAAATTACATAATAATGTCCAAATCCCTATCCCCAAATCCAGTGCTTCTCTGTCCTGATTATATATCAGAACGCCTTGTGAGGTCTTTACCTGTACCATATCCCAAACATATAGAATCAAAGTTGGGGTCCAAGGCCTCTGTATGCTTAAGAAAAGCTCCTCAGAAGACTGATTCTAGACAGATATGAAAGATATCGGGTCGTTTACCTGCTTTCCTATCAGAACCCTAATTTTTAAAAATACGCATTCTGCCCCCATATGTGCCTCATGTACCTTAAATGAAGATGATCTACTCTCAGCCCCAGCAGACCTGCATGGCCTGAGAGTTATTCCATACCCTTTGCCAGTTCAAACTACTTTAGAGCAATGAGACCCAAGGATTTGGAAGTGAGGACTGGGAAAGCTTTCTCATTAATATGGGGCCGCTGGAATCCAGCCCGACTCTTCCGCTGCATGTAAATGAAGATGCACAAGGCCCCAACTGCCACTGGCAATCATCCTGTGACCACGAGGGCGGCCAGCCTTCAGATGATGCCAGTGCTGTGGCTGAAAAGAGGGGGGGAGCTCCCGAGGTTCTTGATGACATTACAGAATCACTGGATCGGAAACACTGAAGCCCATTCTATCAGAAGTCTGCATGCATTGTGGTTCAATATATTTTCTTCTTGGTTAATCATATTAAGTTGGATTTTTCATGATTTGCATCTGAAAGCTAAAGAGTAGCATCACATTCTTTTAAGTAAGAAACCACACAAACATCCCTTTATACTTACCTGTCAATCTGAGATGATTTATCTTTTCTATTTTAAAAGTGAATCTCTAAAAATGAATTTATGTTGTTATACTTTTTTGATATGTGAGCTAGATTTTATTAAAATATTTATATTCCTTACATTCACTTCATTATTTACTCAAAGTTCTTGCTGTAGGCTTTGTCTTGAATGTGTAAGACCATTCGCCGTGCATAGAAGTCCCTGTATTCTTCTGGTAATTCAGCCAGTGTTTTTAAGGCTCTGTCCAAAATTTGTGCTGCTCTTGATGCTGCTGTAGGATCTTTGTTTCCATAGGTATCTGTTTTATCATAGCATTCAGATGGAAGGTGCTTCCAAAAGATATTCACTCCCACTCCAAACTCTTCAGAAATTACATTATGGAACCATAAAGCTGGAGAAAGTTTTAAAAAACAAGTTAAAAATAAAACGTACAGTTAAAAAAAAAAAACAAAATGTCAGTGAAATATCACGAATTGCATATAGCCAATGTAAGAAATAATTCTCGTAACGAGATCCCTTCGTTAGCACACTCCCAGCTTTTAACAGAATCATTTTAACTTTTATGAATTGCCAACAAATTTAAAGTGTCAATAGCACAACCCTTACGTTTAAAACCTTTAGAAATAGTAATTTTTCCTTTTAACTTGAAAGACACAATAAAGATATATCTGTTTGCAGTACTCTAATCTGGGTTGTGTTTTGTGTTATTTATTTACACTTCCTGAGTCACACAACCACATCAAAGGTGTTTATTTTTTGGTACACAGAACACGTTAATTATTTCAGGAGTATCTTTGACTCTTTCTGACTCAGTACAATACTTCTGTCCTCAAAGATTTCCTGTTCAGGCTGTAATTTGCTTTCCTAACTTGTTTAAACTGCATTAGTTGTAGCCTCCTCAGTTTTACATTTCTAATGCAATTATAATTGTCTTAAATTTCTTTCAGCTTCTTTATAATACACATATAGAACTATAGCAAACATTTTGGCAGTGGACACAAAGAGCAAGCTTTATCATATCATATACCTAATTAATATTTTTTTACTATCACTAAAAAGTTTACTTTTGTTTTCAATTGAGTCTAAACATTTTCAAAATATAGATGCTAGAGGAATACTAAAGCAACACCACAATGTAACAAAGATGGAATACTAAAATCTTTAATCCTGTGAAAGGGAGAAAGGAAGATTTAAATTTTAGAAACAAACTCATTCTAACTAAGAGTGCTCGGGGAAAACCAAAAGCTTAAAATATTTGGATTTGCAAACTCAGTTTACAACATGGTTTTAATCTTAACTGCACTTTCTTTCAGAATCTTTTTTTTCCTTTATCAAATATAATAGGAAGAAAAAACTAACCATTCTGTTAAATTTAAATCCAAAAATGGAGCTTTTGCTTTTGTTTCAAAATACATGCAAATGTTCAGTATTTCTGGTTTTTTCCTTTTTCTTACAGTTGTATATAGAATCAGAGAAAATTGCATAGTCCTTAACCATGTTCCTAAGATACAAAACCCCAAAATTATAAAATTAAAATATGGCAATGGATTTAAAGACTAATATACTGGTTGTTTTCAGTGAAACTTTTATAGATGATCAATTGTATGAAGGACGTTGGCCCTTTGGGGAATACAAAGATTATCAAGACATGGTTCCTTTTCCTCAAGGAATTTGTAAGTTTGTCCCAAATGAGATAATCATATTTTTATCTGCTAATTTAAAAAATATAACTCTATCACTGAAAAGAGGTGTTAATGATTACTGACATATTAATTTAGATATGGGACCTACAACTATATAAACAGAATTTGTTAATACATCCTTTTAATTATGATTAGTATTATCTTCAGGAATTCATTTTTAAGTATTGATTACAGGAATTAATTACATTTCTGTGGTTACAACATGAAAATTTTATGGTCTTTCAAACTAATACCTATTTATTGAACGAAGAAATTAAGTGACACAAATTCAGACCGTGTAGAAAATCCACACAAATGGTATCACAGGTGTTCAGATTATAACATTTTGATATTTGATAAATATTTAATCTGCTTTGGCTTTCAAAACATTTACCATTTCCTGGTAAATACATAAGTGACATAGTTCTAAAACATATAACTATTTAAAAAATAAAATAATTAAGAAAACCAACCAAGTATAATCTTTTCCCAGATATAAAGTGTCTTACTTGTTATTTAATGAAATAACTTAGAGTACAATAATATATTTCTAGAATGCCCTTGAAAAACAAGACTTAATTTTATGAGTTTGTATAGGCATATTTTAAATATACAGTTATATATAGACATCATCTTGTATAGGACAGGATACATATAACAAACATACGTTTGTTCTAAAAAAAAATCACATAAAGGCTGAGTGACAGGGTGCGGATTTCACAAACAGCACATTATTGAGTTCTAGAAATCTTACCAGGAATGAATAATACATCACCAGCTCCCAGGGTGCATTCATATCTTCTAGCCTTGGAAAAGAGCGGATATTTCACTAAGTCTGGGTTATCTATATTTAGTACTTCTGATTTAGTACCTGAAAAGTTCCAAAACAGCATAATATAGATTGTGCAAAGTTAGCATTTCAAAAAAAGTAATCACAAATATAAATGTGAAAGTTTCTTCTTTTCTATACAATTACTTACTGTATCCACACTGTAGAATTACTATTCTACTAAAATCTGAGAAAATTTTCAGTGATTCACACTTTAACTATCACCATTGATACCTACGTAATATAATTAAGAAAATCTCAAAATCTGAGCCTATCATTATGTACATACACACATACAATGGAGAATACAGTACATCATAATTAGAAAGAAATCCTAAATTTTTTCTTCTGTGAGCATCAGATTTCTCAAAAAGAATAACTGAATAGACTTTAGAAATGTAAACTTAAAAAAATCATACCTGATAAATATAAATACTGGGCATCTCGAGGACTGAAGAGTATAACACGCTTTTTTCCTGTCACTTGTATTAAAAAGTTATCCATTACCTGAAGACCAATAAGAACTTATGGGTAATCATTATCTAAAACTCAAATAAATAAAACCAATGGCATTTTAAACTGTTAACTGTAAACCCTACCCCTTATCAAGACTTACTTAAAACTCTTATAGTCTCATCTAACAATACAGACACTAGTACTTGCACTTTCACATACAAGTATGCCTGCGAGACATTGCTGCAGTACTGCCTCAAAATGGGAAGAACTGGCAAATGAGGAAATCTGGGTCAGGAAACTATTTGCCCTTGCTCCACCATTAACTCACAATGAGCACAGTCAAACCTATTTGAGACCCTCCTTGGTTAATATTTACTCATCTGTCAAGGAATGCAATAAGGTCAACATTAGACAACAGATTAAAAACACTGAGGAAGATTAAATGCCAGGAAAATACAAGGTATTGCTGCAACTCTTAATATATGTCCAATCATAATTTGGTTGTAGGTATCATGACTTTCAAATTATTTCTACAGGAATATAATCTGACAAGTTTTCTTAATATATACTTATTTGTCTGCATATGCAAGGACACACTTTCTTGGTACACATTGTGAAAAATGTTAAAGGCAGAGTCATGTAACTCTCAGCTAAGGAATTAAGAAAAACACTAGACAAGGCATATGCATGATTATGTGCGTATCACTTCTACCTAAGCAATTTTCCTTTTAGCACTAACATTTTACTTACATAAATATTAACTGTGTAATTAAAACTAACATTTCTCTGACTTATTTTTATAAGAAAAGTTTTATATATTATATTCTATTATAACACAAGGTAAAAGGAATTCTTAAAATTTAAGCAGACAGAATATAATTAAAACATATTTGAGTTACCATATTATTTTCTTACCATGTCATTCATGTAAAACCTTTAAAAAAATTAAGATTTCATGTCTATTTCATTTAATTACAGATTACTGACTGCTAAAATCTTCCCAAGAGGTTCTCAATTGAATTATAAAATACACGTATAAATATAATAGCATGATTTAAAACTTTTTTTTTTTCCTGGCGGGATGCAATGGTTCACGCCTGTAATCCCAGCACTTTGGGAGGTCGAGGCGAGAGGACTGCCTGAGCCCAGGGGTTTGAGACCAGTTTGGGCAACTTGGCAAGACCTTGTTTCTACAATAAATCAAAAAGTTAGCCAGGCATGGTGGCACATGTCTGTAGTTCCAGCTACTTGGAAGGCTGAGGCGGAAGGATCGCTTGAGCTCAGCAGGTCAAGGCTGCACTGGCTGTGGGTGTGCCACTGTACTCCAGACTGGACATCAGAGTGAAACTTTGACTCAAAAAAAAAAAAAAAAAAATTTTTTTTTCTTTGGAAACTTATTAGGTATTGCTTTAGCTTCTAAGTTTCTCTGCTTCCCAACACCAAACCATATTCAATACTTAGTATTTTTAATGTTTTTAAAATGCCTATTTATGTACATATCTTTAAGCAAGTAAAATAATAAAACCATAGAATAATCAAGACCAATATTCTACACATGTTGCTGTCCTATACATACAGTGGACATTGGATATTCTCAAGGCATACGCATCCTGAGATCTTCAGATATCCCCATTCTGGGAAATGGCTCTTTACAAGTTTCTGCCTTTATCCTAAATAACATAACTCTGTCTGACTAGAGTCATGTGCATCACGTACACAGCCTCATACGACAAGCCTATCATTTCTTACACTTAAACAATTTTTGCCCCTATTCTGGTGGCCATTGTTCACATACAAAAAAAAAGCTTCATAAAACTTAGTGTGTATATGATGATGAATCAAGAACAAGACTGCAAATAAATACAAAACTGAGGAAACAACTAGGCTTTGCCATTAGCTAAATAATTCACTCCCATTGCCTTGCAAAGCACATTTTCAAAAGTAATGCTCCAACAAAGTACATAGTAAAGATCTTTAAGGTAGCTTATGGAATGAAAGGTGAAACCATGACTATAATGTTACAAAGGCTAATCTACACTCTGTAGACTACAATCTACAATGTACAAATGCTAAAGATCTACTGCAGTTTTAGATTTCCCACTTATATAGCATACATCATAGTGAGTCCAAAGTTGCAATCCTGGTGAACTAATTCGAAAAACACTGGAAAAGAAAAGTTCCTCTTTGAAGAATTCTGGAAACTTAATATCTCCTTCCAACAAAGGAAATTGCTTTCTGATATCTGCAACATCCTGCATTGACAAAACATAAAAATAACACATCAGATAAATAATATCAAGAAAGAATTTTAATAAATACAATGTTGACATAATGCTTATTTCATCTAAGGATGCCAACAAACCCCATGACATTAAGGAGGAATGGGACAAGACTTTGTTCACTGCTTTAAAATACTATAATGTGACCATCTACCAACAACTCATCTTTCAAATGGAGAAATTACAATGTAATGAGATTGTAGATTCTACATTACTCCTGTTAAGCTCAATATGCTTCATTAATAGAAAGGTTCTTCCCACTTTAAGCAAGAATTATGCAACTGTCATCTGCTCAAATATTAAGCATTATAAATTCAGAAGTCAACACCTTGAACTAGTATTATAAATACGAGTCATCAACTATATAAAACTTGTGAGTTCTACTGAGGGAATAGAATAAACAAGATGGTAAAGAACTAAATGATGACACAAATGGAAAAACGTAATCCTATTTGGTCATTTTAGGGATCATGCCTTAACACTGCAGCCATATTAATTTGACTCTGACTATATGTCAAAGCCTATATAATGAATTATTCAGGATTTTTATAATTATTTTAATTAGTACTTTATTGGCTGAGTGACCACTTATAAAACATACAGTAGAAGAGATTTCTTATTCTGTAGAGATCAGATGACTTATAAACACTAAGATTCTATAGGCCTACCTGCCTGAAAACTAAGTAATCAACTTTTAATAATCTTACTTCTTATTCAGGGCACAACTTATTGAGAAAAGCATGGAAAAGAATAAAGCAGGTTATATGTCAGACATTAAGTATAAAAATTGCAATGCCAGCTAACATATGTACATTCTTTTAGGTTTTAAGCAATTGTTTTATATTCAGAATTCTTACTTTTCTAGGGTCTTCTCCAAGTGATCGTAAGTAGTATTTCTCATCCTTGAACATCCCAAAGAAAAAAAATAACATCAGCATTCATTAAAAAATACTAGGACATGTACAGTTATTATGTATTCATAATAATTAAAAATTAAAAAAAGAACTATGTACTCGGAACTATGGAAAAAACAATAAAATCCCTTAACTTCAAATATATTAGGAAATAAAGAAGGAAGGAAATAAGTCTTAAAATCTGGCCCAGTTAAGTAGTTTTCTAAAAAGTTCAATTATCTTACCCTTTCTGCTAATGCTCCCTGGTGGTCATATGAAGTAATGTCTTTATATATTGCTCATAATCATGACTGGATCCACAAAACATTAAGTCAAATAAAATGCTAAAGGCAATATCCACATACCATCTCTAAAACCACAATGATTAATTTAGATTTCATATCCCAAATTACTTAGACTCTTATTTTAACAGTTTTAATATTTAGTAAAAGAATTCCCATTTGTATACCACATACAATCTCAAAGTACTGCTGAGGACCAACAACAAACTTCTTAATGTAATACAAATGTATAACAACAGGCAAATGAAACACCTTACGCTTTTAATAATTTTTTTAAAAATCTGGAACACTGCATTTTATAAAGCTAAGCCTATCCCTGATCATATAAATTCTTAAGCCAAATGCTTAAGAGTCAGCTCATGTAAGATTTAGAAATGTATCATTTCATAGTAGCAAACTTAAATCAATACTTTAAAAAACTATCATTTATATTTTGCTGAGTACCTAAGTAGAAAACTGTTTGAATTATAAAACATTCACTGTTGCCTTAGTTTCCTATGAGAATTAGAGAAGTGAGCGATACCAAGTCAAGCGCATGGGCAATCCAACTCAAGAATTCCGCCTCTTTTAAAACAACATTGACCATTATAACAAAAACCAGTTTGATTCTATTTACCTTAAGACACATTCTAAATCTATAATCAAGAGTTTAACTGAGCTCTGAGAGTCACTGTTTTTATATTTTTTGCTAGTACCACATCAGATAGATTCCAAAAATTTATTACTGGCTGAATAGGTTTCAAACTATGTTTTTCAAAATTTTAAGGGTTTTCTACCAGTTCTAATAGTTCAGGAATTTAAAAAATAAATTCATGTGGCCAACACAAGGATGCACTGCGCAGAACTCCCTTCAAAAAAGAACTCACCGCTTGGTTGCCGGGACTGTGATTAGCTTAACGCTACCAGCTGTTAAGTTCTTCAGCTCCACCTCAGCATCTAAATCCAAGTCATGCTCTTCTTGAGGTAGCCCCCATCAATGATTAGGATGGTACAAGGCCTAGACTTGGCCACCCAATGCAGGATGCCTCTGCCAGGCAGTCTTTGCTCAGGAGTTCTGCAATGAGCTGGCAGAGACTGTCCAAGCCATATCTCCATCTGATGGCTTCCCTGACCCCAGCCTGCTTTCTCCCCTTTCCTTTCAGAGGCATTATCCCCAATAAGCCTTTTGCCCTCCAAATTCCATCTCAGCATCAGCTTCCTGGAGGACAGACCTGACAGCTCATGCTCACCTTGTTTACACACTTCCCATAATTTTTAGACTTCAATTCTTTACCCTCTCTTTCATTCATTTCACATCTCATGGCTATTTAAATCTGTGTTACCCCATACCCCTAGACAAGAAAGTACTAAAGTACACCTGAACATGTATATTCAAAGCATAGCTCTAAAGTTAAGAAAACCCGGTTCTCAGGTACAGTTCATGGAACCTGTTTTAAAAGCCATTCTAGTTACACTACAGAATCACAGACCTTCAGAGTTTGTAGGGATCTTGGTGGTAATCTAGTGTAACTGTTACCTGGTAAGAAAACTGTTCAATATCTTTTAGAATCAAACTGCCTAGCCCAGCTGGCTCAAATGCAGATAACAGTTTTATTCAAAACTTAAAAAGCAGTTTTTAAAATGTGCTTTTGCAATAACACAGTGTAATTTTTAAAAACATATTTATATACAAGATTCAATGCCTTATCTCAAGGTATTTAAATTGAATTATTTAAAGCTATACGACAGTATAAACAAGTAGATTTTTTCTTCATTTAATCCTGAACAGTTACAGCAAATACAATATAAATTACACTGATAATAACTAACAATAATAAAATATGGAAACAGTCTAGTAGCCAATAAAATATGAAAATTAAGTTCTCCATTAGCATTTGAACTTGGCATATCAAATCAAGGCATTTCAAAGAAAGTGATATTAATAGCTAATATTAATGAATAATTTCTATGTGTCAGGCACACTACTAAGTATTTTTGTAGATTTTATTTAGTTAATCCTCACAAAAACCTTATAAAATATGTAGTTATTATCCCCACTTCATTGATGAGTATACTGAGGCACAGAAAAATAATTTGGCCAAGGTTTGAGAACTAATGTACAGCAGAGTTAGTGTCTACGGTACTTCCAAACAGATCTAAAGACTATCAGGGACAGCTATAAATCTTGTATATCTAATGTTCTTATATAAGAAAATCCATTTAGTCTATAGATATTCATGCTTTCCTTAAAAAGGTTCCAAGCAATTTTACCTCTGAAATAAAGAATTCTTTATGCCTTTCTTCAGCTGCCCTCTGGACCAACTCATCAAAGGGTAAAGTTCTGAAATAAACAAAAAAGAATTCTTGGATTTAATAACAGATGAACTAGTAATAATCTCATCTCTGTACATACAGGCTTGCTAGAGTTGGATATAATCTTCTGTTTTACAATATTCCTAATTTTTATTATGACCTATTATATAGAGTTCTGCGTTTCTAAAATTCACTTAACAGTGTATTTTTTTGACCCAAGTTGTCTAAAATTTTGGAATTAAAGATTTTTAAACCTATAATACAGATGGATCCTTCCATAGGTAAATATCCTTCTAATCCAAGTTACTGATAGAAAAATGTTTTTACGGTATCTGATTACCACTGTAAATATACAGACTTTCAGGCTCTGACTGCTACCGTTGCCAAGTATCATGGCAAAACAAATCTTGTGAGGAGTGGCCAAACTACGAGAGCTGCTTTGGAAGAGATTGTGGGCAAATGCATCAAAGGAGACAAGGCCCTATGCCCCAGCTTGATATCAAGAGGTAACACTGTGTATTATAAAAACAACCCTTGACTGATGAACTCTGCCCTAGAAGACCAGTGGACTATAAATACTGGCTAGGAAGTAGAGGATTTGGCTTTACTGTGTGGAGTGTTACTCTCATAACTGAGTAGTGTGTCCCCTGGAGGAAACTAGAAGCTAAGTTCATGGGCATTTCAAGCTACTGGTTTCTGTGGACTATGTGGCTTAGTTAAGCCAAGGGGCTTCTGTACCACTTCCCTAGTCTTATTTCCTTTCAAGTGAGCTATAACTTGATGAGTCAAAAATGGTTCCTGGATTTGTATAGACTTCACTGATACTATACTGCTAGATTGCTACTTCCTGCCTTGTATCCCTGAGTTAATATGACATCAGGTTATAGACTGGTGGGTGCTGTGAATGTGAATGTCAGTCTGAAGTAGAGGCCATTGCTGGTAATTATATAGTGAGCACCGCAAGAGAGGAAAGAGGAGTCAGCCATCTATTCAGACCAATGCAGCATACTGTGTCTCCTACTATTAATAGTGTCTGACCAATTAATAATCAACAGATTTACTTGGCATCCTCCTACTCAATGTTGCCATCTCTGACCTTACCATATACCCTTCATTCCTAGCACAGCATCTTTGGAGAATCTAGACCAGTGGGGAAGCTCATCTGTTCCATAGCAACCTCTGTAATTGGTACATTTGCCCAGGTTTAGCATTCTTACTAGGGAGAACGCAGAAATGTTTCAACACCTTTACAAAAACGGGATGGAACAGTGACCCTGCAAGAGCAGACAGAGTGGCTCAGTCCAGAGAAGCAAACTGGGGTGCTGCCAGCAACCTTTTCCCTTAGGTGGCGGTATCTATCACGGCTTCTGATAAGCCGTGAGAAATGAGAGTGGGGATAATGAGGCAAATAAATTGGAAAAGACCTTGGACTTGAGGTTTTATCTATTCTATGCATGTTTCAAAAATAAGGACTTTTGTTATTAAAGTGTCATTTGTTCAGACTAGCAAAAAGACCAGTAAAGGAGGGAGTATCAAAGAGGGCTTAATCATGGGCTCTGTAGAGTCGGGCTAATTTGGGTATACATCCTGGGCTCCATCATTTCAAGCATCTTGGATAAGTTACATAATGTTTTTAAGCCCCTATTTTCTCATCTGTAAAATTACTATGCCTCACAGCTTGTTCTAAAGTTTAGATGAGTAATATAACCTAGATTGCCTGGCACAGTACCTGATGTATATAAGTGCTCAGGAGAGGACAGATGGTGGGGTTAACAACAATGATAATGTATCCTTCAGTAACATGCAAGTAGTCATCAACATATTAAAAAAAAAGAAGGGGGGGGGGGAAACAACCCTTCACTGTCCTGTTCCTCATTCTGAAAAGACTGCCTTTCCAAATTAAGACCAGGCTTGATTAAAGTGTAATAAACAGTGAGAGCAAGACGATGACAGCAATCACATGATTTGACAGGTAATGCAGCAAAGTTCACATCAGACTATCTTCTTCTTTCAATCTATGATCAGAAGAATATCAATTATTATTCACCACACAAGTTTCTCTTATCCAGACTATCCTAACTCTGAACAGTGAGAGCTAACAAGAAGAAGAAAAGTTATAATAAGGCAGAAAAGCAACCTCAGACTGAAGTGATGACAATACACGTGTGTAGGACTTGTTACTTCTGGTCTCTTGGCCTGGGTTCCCCCCTTATTTCTTACTGCCTGGGAAATGCTAAAAATGACTAAACCTATTTTCTTGCACTAAAAAAAAAAAAATCCTGCAACTTTTTAGTAGCTCCAGTGAAAGGCTTGGAAGAAGCTGGGATAGAAACAATTATATAATGTCTGTGCTTCAAAACCAAATTTTGCAAAGTTTAAAAGACATGACAAAACATCAAGGCAATTCAAGATGAAGTTTCAGTACCCATTTGTTACGTACTGGACTCTGAAAAGGAAATATCATTAATTGCAGACTGAAAACACTCATCATTCCAGCACTTTCTTCCATTTTCTTAATACAAATTGAAAAGTCCTTACATTTGGAAAAACTTATGGCAATTAAATTAAATTCATGGCCTATTAATAACCAAAACTATAATGGGTAAATCCTGAAAGGATCCAAAATTGAGAAACGCTTTGGTAGCTGCTATGTGAACTTGGAAACTCATGAGAAAAGAATAGCCATGGATGCGGAAACTCTGCTGAACTTATCTCTAAACTGAAGTCTTCTGAGAACCATGTGTTTTTCAGCAGACTGAACTTTCTGGGAACTGCATGTGCTCAGAGTTCGAAAGTTGTTAGTTTTTTGTAAAAAAATATTGTTTTAATTGGAGTCTCACTCTGTCGCCCAGGCTGGAGTGCAGTGGCAGGCTCACAGCCACTGTAGCATCAACCTGCTGGGCTTAGGCAATCCTTCCACCTCAGCCTTCCAAGTAGCTGGAACTACAGGTGCGCACAACCAAGTCCAGCTTATTTTTGAGATTTACTGTAGAGACAAGGTCTCACCAAGTTGCCCAGGCTGGTCTCAAACCCCCGGGCTCAGGCAATCCTCTCACTTTGGCCTCCCAAAGTGCTGGGATTATAGGCTGAACCACTGCGCCTGGCCTAGTTTTTTTTTTTTTAACATTTTAAATGACACTAATGGGCATAAATAGCATATGAAATCTACAAGATGACAGCATTTAAACCTTTCAACTTTAGACAATCAGCAGCTTTTAGTTATCTCTCACTTTTAAGAGATTCCACAGTATAAAGTAACAATTATGAGACACTAAAGCTACTGAAGATTATTTTATCAAGGGAATATCAAATATGATTTTTAAAAAGTTATCCAAGTTGATGAAGGATTATACCAAACATAGCTTGTCCTATATTTCTGGAGAGGACAAAAAAAGAAAACATGAGTTTTTTAGAATTTCATACTCTAGATAAACAGTGACTAATGTGGTAGGATCAATTAATCAAGCATTAAATGAATGTAGCGTACCTAACTTCACATGTAATCTAACTCTAGTTATAGAAATTCTCTCTTCCTTCCGTGACTCCAGAAGGTATTGAGTGTATACCCTATTTTAAAAATTGTCTTTGGAAATGTCTTTGTATAATTATGTGAACTCAGAATTCTTGTCTTAAAAACCACTCTAAAAATCAGTAAGCTATTCCATGATTATATCAAACCAGCCAAAAGATGAAATGCCATATGGTCTTTGTATAATAATGCAAAAATATTTTTAAAGTTTTAAAAAAGTGATTTATATTCCCAGAGTAAGCCTCGAAAGAAAATACCTATATACAAAGTTCTTACTAATGAAGTCCATCTGTGCAACTGCAGCCACATGAATCTTGACTTCTTTTTTCCCTCCAACTTGGCTTAAGTAATCCACTGTCCATTTGCTTGTACATGCCCCCAAATCAATCCCTTCCAACACAAGAGGTTTTCTCTGCAAGTGAAGGAAAAATACAACAACAACAAAATCAGTGAATACATCAGAAGCAACAGAGGGACAAAAACAAATTAAGATCTGATTCTTGATCCAAAGAAGCTCAAACACAAAGCTTTGATGTTCATCCTGTCACTAAAACAAGAAAATCCACATAATATACCTAGAACAAAATATTAGGGTTAGGAAAACAAAATTGTAGTATCATCAATAGATAACAAAGAAGATAAATCTGAGATTACTTAAAGTATTTCTGTGTTATTTATGAAAAAATATAAAGACCAAAATTTGTACTTTATTTTTATCTATTTATTATCTTTTAGAGACAGGGTCTCACTCTGTTTTCCAGGACAGAGTGTGGTGGCATGATCAGGGCTCACTGCAGCCTTAAACTCCCAGGCTCAAGTGATCCTCCCACCTCAGCCTCCCAAGTAGCTGGAACTACAGGTACGCTCTACCATGCCTGGCTAATTTTTTTGAATTTTTAATAGAGACAGGGCTCTGTTGTTGCCCAGGTTGGTCCTGAACTCCTAGTCTCGAGTGATCCTCCCACATTGGCCTCACAAAGTGCTGAGATTATAGGCATGAGCCTCCATACCCAGTCAAATGACTAAAGTTTGTATTTGAAGTCAAATATGTTTTGTAACTTTTAACTTTGATCTCATTTCAAACTTATAAAAAGTTGCAAGAACACTACAAAGAATTCCCATAAGCCTTTTACCCTGATTCACCATCTGTTAGCATATTGCCCAATTGCTTTATCATTCACTCTTACCCTCACTAGAGGGACATATTATTAAGCATAATTTAATTTTTTCAGAACCATTTAAGGTTAACTTGCTAACATCATGCTCCCTTATCTCTACAAACTTGAGCATATTTCCTGAAGACAAAGACATTCTCTTATATAACCACAGAATAATTACACAAGCTATATTTAGCACTGACATAATACTATCTCATCAACTGTCCATATTCAAATTTCACTAATTATTCGAATAACCTCCTTTAGAGTTATTTCTTTTTTCTGCCCCAAAATTCAATCTGAGATGCCACATAGCATTGAGTTACCATCTCTCTCTTAATCTGGAACAGCTACTCAGCCTTTATCTTCCAAGGCCTTGACATTTTTTAAGAGTACAGGTCAGCTATTTTGTAGAATGTCCTTCAACTGATAGGTTTATCTGAAGTTTCTTTAGATTCAAGTTATGCATTTTGGGAAGGGATTTGCCACAGAAGGAAAGTGTGGCCTTCTCAGGGCAACACATCAGGTGACACATGATATTTTGCCCTAGTATCTGTGATATTAACTTTAATCAGCTGGTAATCACTGCCTGAATCCAGTACTACTAATATGCATGCAAAAAATCATGATTTTTATAAACCCCATCATTTCTTCCACATTTATCAGTTGGCATTCTAACGTCAAAATGAGCACTAACAACTCAAATTAATTAGTTTTATTTACTGGGTAATAAGCTAGTGATATAATTTTAATGCTCAAATTATCACAGATTTAGCCCTCTCAAGCTGGTTCTTATGGCTTTTTATCCTGAGCACTTATTTACCTTATGGCAAAATAACACAGCATCATTTTATACTTTTTCTGTCCCAGCCCAGTGGTTAGTCATTTCTTAAAGTAACTCTGATTTCTTTTAATGGAGAATGTTTAATGGGGTGTCATTACTTCCACCTCCTCAGTGGACACAGCTAGGAAATATGTAAGGGTATGTCTGCCCCCACAAATATATATACATATGCACACCCCGTATATGCACATGCCTATATCTATTTATCTCTCTCCATATATGTACAAATATACATCTGTATTATACACACACACCCCTAATGGATATATGTATGAACCATAAACATTTCAAGGTTCATTCCCACTTTTATTGTATCTATAACTCCTCCCACAGTGAGAAACCTAGTTCCCGTCATTCTCAATGTTTAATCACTTAGAATATCCCAGAATTCACATTCACAATTGTTAGGTCATCTGTAAAAAAACAAGTCTACAGCAGGTCCTCAGATAATGTCATTTCATTATAACATAGATGAGAAAAAAAGAACTCCTTCCCAGCTGGGGCTACCATCTGTGTGGAGTTTGTAAGTTCTCCCATGTCTATATGGGTTTTCTCTTGGTATTCTGGTTTCCTCCCACAACAAGGATGTATGTTAGGTTCACTGGTGTGTCTATATGGTCCCATGAGCAGGGCTCACTGCAGCCTTAAACTCCCAGGCTCAAGTGATCCTCCCACCTCGGCCTGGCAACCTGTCCATGATTGGTTCCCACCTTGTTTGTGCCCTGAGATTCTGGATAGAGTCTGGCACCCTGATCTAGAATAAGCAAGTTGGAAGTGTATGAACGAATACAAAGTACTGTAAAATAAAAATGTATAAAGCATACAATAATCACACAAATGTGCAACAAATGAGGCAGAATGAAAGCACTCAGTGAACCTCCACATTTGCCATTTGTTTTGAACTGCGTGGTGGGAGGTGTTCCTTACAACTTTCAATGTGCAAACATTTATTCCTTGATTTAACCCACCAGCACTATGAGAACCATCACTCATCAATTCACCAAAAATTGAAATGATTCTCTTGTTTTAATTAATCTTTACATATGTGTAGCTCACACCTCAATGTTTCATATTAGCAGTATTTTGAGTATTTCGGTGTTTGGTGATGTTTTTGTGACTAGAAATATGCCATTGGAACTTAACTCTTGTTTATATCAATTAGCCTATGGTAAAATTGGTGTCATTAAACTTGTTTCCCCTGAAGTTGCAGCTTCCAAGAGCCTATGGATAATGTTAAGTGAGGTCTTACTGTACTAACTAGAATTCAGTTTGCTTTTAGTTCTGTCTTTAGATTTTAGTCATATAATTAAAGTACTGTGTTCAAAAAAGGTGACTTGGATGACTTCTCTCCCTCCCCAGTAGGGTCATTTGTTACTTTCTATATTCTATATTAGTGCTTGTTTTTTTTTAATCATTCCTCATTCTTGTTGATTGTATTATTTTTACTTTAGAATGTAAAACATTAGTGTGATCCCCAAAGTCAAAACTATACAAAAAGTCACCACATCCACATTCTTACACCTGGTACTTACACATTCCTTAGAGACAACCAATCTATTAATTTCTGGCTTATTCCTATTTTTTTTTGCAAAATGATCAAGAACATATATTTCCTATCCCCCTTTCTCTTTTTTACATAAGTAGTAGCTTACTATGTATTTTCTTTTGTTTTTGTTTGTTTTTGGTATCAGAGTCTCACTCAGTCAACCAGGCTGGAGTACAGTGGTGTGATCATGGCTCACTGCAGTAGTTGGGACTACAGGAGCGTGCCACGATGCCCAGCTTCTTTTTTAATTTTTTTGTAGAGACAAGGTCTCACTTTGTTGTCCAGGCTGTTCTCAAACTTCTGCTCAAGTGATTCCTCCCACCTTGGCCTCCCAAAATACTGAGATTACAATGAGCCACCGCACCTGGCTTGAATCTAAATAATCTGCTCTTCTTAAAATATTTATTTACTTATTTACTTACTTATTGATTGACTGATTAGAATCAGAGTCTCACTCTGTTGCCCAGGCTGAAGTGCAGTGGCATGCTCACTGCAACTGCAACCTTGACCCGCTGTGTTTAGGTGATCCCTCTGCCTCAGCCTTCCAAGTAGCTGGGACTACAGGCACGGGCCACCACCCCAGTAATTTTTTAAATTTTAGTGTAGAGATGAAGTCTCACCATGTTGCACAGGCTAGTCTTGAACTTCTGGGCTCAGGCAATCCTCTCACTTCGGCCTCTCAAAGTGCTAGGTTTACAGTTGTGAACCACTGCACCCAGCCTCTTTTTTAAATTTAAAAATAAAGCCGGGTGCTGTGGCTCATGCCTGTAATCTCAGTGCTTTGTGAGGCCATGGTGGGAAGTCTGCTTGAGCCAAGGGTTTGAAATCAGCTTGGACAACATAGTGAGACTCTAACCCTACAAAAAATACAACAACAACAACAAAAAATTAGCCAGGCATGGTGGTGTGCTTGTAGTTACAGTTACTCAGGATATTGGGGGTGCAAGAGCCCTGAAGTGTAGGATTTTGAGGTTACAGTGAGCTATGAGGCACTGCTTTCAGCCTGGGTTAAATAAATAAATAGAAACTATATCCTAGACATCACTACTATCAGTTTAGATATCTCCTTCGTTCTTTTTTATAGCTTAGTATACCACAGTGTCAGTGGGCAATAATTTACTAAGTTACTCTCCTCTGCACAGGAATTTAGGTTATTTCCAATCATTATAAGTACAATAACACTATGTAGATCTTTTCACATTTTTGGAGGTATATCTTCAGAATAAATTCCTAAATGAGAAACTGTTGGGTCATAAAGTAGACACATACACTTCAAAATACCAAAAGAGCTGGGCTCAGTGGCTCAGCCTGTAATCCCGCGCCTTTGGGAGGCTGAGGTGAGTGGATTGCTGAAGCCCGCGGGTTTGAGACCCGCCTGGGCAGGCAAGACCTCATCTCTACAATAAATGAAAAAATTAGCCGGGCGTGGTAGCGCGCGCCTATAGTTCCAGCTACTTGGAAGGCTGAGCGGAAGGATTGCCAGAGCCCAGCAGGTTGAGGCTGCGGTGGCCAGGAGTGGCCACTGCACTCCAGTCTGGGCGACAGAGTGAGACTCCAACTCAAAAAAAAAAAAGAAATACCAAAAGAGCTGAACCACTTGGTGTGACGTGAATTCATACCAAGTTTCTCAACAGCCTCATCAAGAGTGTAATATCAAAGCTGTTTTAATTGTTGCCAATATGGTAAGGAAAAAGTGGTGTATCAGTGTAGCTTTAATTTCTTTTATGAGTGAGGATGCACATCTTTTCACATGTTTAATGGCCACTTTAATGGGATTTTTTTGGGGGGGTCATCTTCTCATTTTTCTATCAGTTTTTTGGCCTTTTCCTTTTAAAAGTTATTTACATACAAAGGCTTTTACTGCTCTTTATATGAGATATATGTTGCAAATAATTTCTCCTAATATATTTGTCAACTTTGTTTACAGTGAGTGGTACTGTCATACAAATGTTTCATGTAGTAAAATTTTAATCTTTTATTACACCTGAATTTTAAGTCAAAGTTAGAAAATCCTTCCTTAGACCTAGATTAGAGAGGAATTTATCCATATTTTCTTCTACTGCTTGCATAGTTTCATTTCTTTATTTTTCTGATCCACTTGAAATCTATTCTTATGTATAAGGTGAGACATAACTCAATTTTGTAATTTTCTAAATGACTATCCAGTTGTCCCAGCACCACTATCGCAGTAAAACTACGATATGGCACCAAAACAGTGGGCATATTTCATTTTAAATTTACCCAAACACACAGAACTTATAATACCAACAGTGTACCCTAATGTAAACTATGGACTTTGGGTGAAAGTGATGTATAAATGTAGGTTCATCAATTGTAACCTTTTAACCTGTAACAAATACACCTCTGTTGATAATGGAGGCTATACATGGAAGTATATGAGAAATCTCTGTACCTTTTGCTCAACTGCTGTAAACCTAAGATGGTTCTAAAAATTAAAGTCTATTTAAAAAAAAAAAATCAATTGTTGCCCTAATGATTTTTGAAATGCCATGTTCATTACACACTAAATTTCCATACAAGTGGAAATTTATTTCCAGAGATATATGAGGCAGAAAAATTGATTTCTGAACTTTCTACTCTATTTCTCTGGTCTGTCTATTCATGTACTTGTACCATATACGGTGTTAATTATGAAGTTATTAGAACATGTTTTAAAAAATCTGATAGGACTATGCCCTCTCATACTTTTCTTTTTAGTGTTTCCAAGAAGAAAGTTTTTTTTTTTTTCCAATTTTGTTATTAGGTTCTAGTGACTTGATGTTATTTCTATTATTTGAGTTATTTTGATAACCTTTCTAGTTATCAGTTTCTAGTTTTACTGCAATATGACCAGAGAAGAGTGTTTGTAATTTTCTCCTTCATGAAACTTAGTGATGCTTTCTTTGTGACACATTATATGTCTCATCAGGAAAGATTAAATTACAAAATACCTCCAGTTATGCAAAGCACTTCCACATAATCAATCTTCACAACACTGCCCTGTCTTATGACTAGTGAATCTGAGGAGGGTTGGAGAGAGCAAGAATAACCATAAGGCACCGGTTCCTGAAATAAATGAAGGTTTGGGTCCTCTCCTGTAGGTTGGTAGCTACCAAAAGAAAAAAAAATTATCTCTAACTTGTAATACTCAGAACTGGAATTCTATGACCACCCTTACAAATGTAAATATCAGTTAAGAAAATTGCTGGATTTTCTCTTTCTTTCTACTATTAACAGACACTGCAACCCTATGGATTTTTTCCTTTAAATACCTGCTGGGTTCCTTATTCTGTTTTTCTTTTCTTTTCTTTCCTTTTCTTTTTTGAGTCGGAGTCTCACTCTATCGCCCAGGCTGGTGTGCTGTGGTATGTTCATGGCCACTGCAGACTCGACCTACTGGGCTCAGGCAATCCTTCCACCTCAGCCTTCCAAGAAACTGGAACCACAGGCTCATGCCACCACACCCGGCTAACCCGTGGGCTCAGGCAATCCTCTCGCCTCCCCTCCCAAAGTGCACGGATTACAGGCATGAGCCACCACACCCGCCTTATTCTGTTTTGGGGGACACCCTTGCAAAAGCACCGCGAGTAAAACACTTTTTGCTCCGTATTTCTTTGTGAGTTTTCTTTTAAAGAACTAAAGTCCGAATTACACAGTCCAAGAATTCAACGTCTGAATTAGAACCCACATAGGTAAAGCCCAAGTCTAGTGGAAGTTTTCCGGGAAATTCCATTGCTTTCTGTTGGCTCAGTTGGGTTGAAAAGCTGCATTAACTCGAAGTAG